CCTAGTCCAATGCTGGGGTTGGAGTAGCAACAGGATTTGAGAATTTGTATTTTTTTTCCCAGATGCATTGGAATTGCAAACATTGATTATGCTCCATGTGTTTCACGATTCTTTCTTGTAGTTCTTTCCTCTTTACATGGACTCTGACATGCCACTATGAGATTTGTAATTCACAATATTTGAAATTGAATCAATCTACTCTGTAAGATGCTACCCCTTTTGCTGTTGATTAAAACTTGTATTTTGAAAACTGATATTACATTACAGCTGGAGCTCCATGCTAAAATTGCAGTGGGACTCTGAGATGGATTTCCATAATTATTTATTAAAATTCTTGCAGACTCTCTTTCAGTGTTTTTATCAGTAGATAGCTGGTTTTAAATCAGAACGTCCCTGCCGGCTAGAAATATCGCCTCTCCTAATAATTTGGAAATGTTGGCAAGGACGACTAGTTAAAGTGCTGCACTCTGCTTTTCCAAGGTTCCATAAAAATAAAAAAAATTTCTTAAAATCACATTTCTTTTCGCTATAATTTCTTGAGTTGATTAATCCGTAACAGCACTAGAGGAGTCCAATTGCTACTCGAAGCAGTGTGGCAAATACAAAAGTAGCAATTTAGCCAGGAATTGGTCCAGACCCTGGAGCAGGGACAATAAAAGTCTTGATTGACACCAGAGGCTGGAAGTTCAGAGCATTTTAGAGTGAGTTTGTCAAAACATGTGGAATCTAGCAGATTATGAGCCAATCAAGGCCAGAGTTAGGCAGTCAAGCAGCTAAATAGAAATAATCAGCAGATAAGTCTGAGGCAAGCAGTATCGCAACCAACAAGTTTACCCAGTGTAAAAGCAAGGGTGGGTTGAAGGCAGAAACAAAAGCAAGTGGTGTTTATTGGGATTCAGTCTTTGGCCAAACATGCCTATATAACCTGTAGTTTTTTTCTTAAATGTCAACTGGAGAGGAATATACATATCAGGGCAGAAATGAATCCAGGTGGGCAGAGCATCAACATTTTATTTAGGGCAAGGATCCTCTTTATTCATTACTTCTGTGAGATTGTAAATGTGTGGAATAATAAATAATAATAATACTAATAAAAAAAAAAATTATTTACATCTGGCCCATCTGCTTGGGTTTCTCCAGCCACTCTGGGTGGCTCCCAACAGAATATTAAAAGCACAACAAAACATCAAACATTAAAAACATCCCTAAACTGGGCTGCCTTCAGATGTCTTCTAAAAGTCAGATAGTTGTTTATTTCTTTGACACCTGATGGGAGGGCGTTCCACAGGACGGGCACCACTACCAAGAAGGTCCTCTGCCTGTAACCTCACTTCTCACAGGAAGGGAACCACCAGAAGTTCCTCAGCGCTGGACCTCAGTGTCTAGGCTGAATGATGGGGGTAGAGACGCTCCTTCAAGTATACTGGGCCGAGATTGCTTAGAGCAGGGGTCAGCAAGGTTTACCTTGCCTGGGCCTGTTCACTCCAGCGGAGATCCCTCCATGGGCCGGATCGTGCACACGCACGTGATTTCTGACATCTGCGTCTGCACAGATGCAATTTCCAACGTCTGCATCCGTGCAGACATGATTTTCAGCACCACGAAAGCAATTCCCTGTGCCGTGCTGCGCCGGTTTAGCACAGCACATGGGGACTCGCCAGGTGGGCAGCTCGGTTTGGGGGCACCTTGTGGGCCAGTTAAACAACCCCCGTGGGCCACTGGTTTAGAGCTTTAAAGGTCAGCACCAACACTTTGAATTGTGCTCGGAAATGTACTGGGAGCCAATGTAGGTCTTTCACTACCGATGTTTATATGGTTTCGGCGGCCACTTCCAGTCACCATTCTAGCTGGAAGAAAAGAATTGAGCCCACTGCCCCCGCCTTTTGGGGATTTTCTAAAAGGGTGAACCCTACAATCAGCACATAGGCCCTCCCCATGTTTTAGAACCTCAATTATGGAGGATTTCCCATATTATCTAGGCTTTCCCATTGCTTGGACCACAGGGGGGGATGCCAGCAAGACCCTCCAAATGTCCCTATTTTCCAGGGTAGTCCCAGATTTACAGAAGCCATTCCAGAATGTTCTGCTTTTCCTTAGGACATCCTTATTTTCATCTGATAAATGGTGGGGGGTATGGAGTTATTCAACCCTGCTAGCCAAAGAAATAACTATACCACCTTTAGAAGACACCTGAAGGCAGCCTTGTATTGTGTTTTTATTTATATTGGAAGCCACCCAGAGTGGCTGGGGCAATCCAGTCAGATAGGTGGGGTATAAATAATGAAATTAGTATTATTATGGAATAGGACTTCCCTATTTTCATTGGAGAATCATTGAAGCATGATGCATGATGGCAAGACATGCAGGGCCGGATTTAGGTTTAATGAGGCCCTAAGCTACTGAAGGTAATGGGGCCCTTTCTATGTCCAGCTGTCCTTTGTCAACAACAAATTGTCACTGTTTTTTGTGTTGAATATATGCTATATGGTAATTTATGGACCTAATAGGTATCTAAAGCCATTTTTACATAACAAAATATGTATTTTATCAAAGTAAATGTTGAACTGAAATATAATTAAGAAGAAGTATATTAATAGTGAAAGGGGGGGCAAGAGAGTGGGGCCCTAAGCTATAGCTTCTTTAGCTTACATGTAAATCCGGCACTGAGGACATGGGACAGTAGACATGGCATGGAGGATAATGATGAGGAAAGCCCAAAATTACTGAGGCTCCAGACCTCTTCTGAAGCCATAACAGGCTTTTCTAGGAATTACCTACGTTACAGCAAACTTTTAAGTCACAATTCAATTATACGTAAGGAATATATATGTATTTCTAAAGCAAGCAAGCAAAACACACACTCCCTTTTCATAAGACAAAATGGTGCTATGAGCATTTGGCGATTCTACAGTGCCCATGTCTTACCACGGTACACAACAATAAAACAACAGTGGTGTAAAGAGGAGGATATTAGTCTTCTTTCACAGCATCTGGCAGAAGCCAAAATATGGGATTTCAAAGTAGTATTTTGCAGAGGGTATATTTATCCTTTAGTGGAAACCTCAGGAAGAGAAATAATGGAACTATTAGCAACTTGGGCCCTGTGGTTTTCTAGTTGTTCCCAGAGTAATTCAGCTTGAAACAGCTTTTTCCCCCAAGAGGTTTCCTATCCATTTATCACTTCCTTCCATTGCAATGTCTTATTCTACCTGGTGCAGTTATTCAGGAGTCTAAACTTAACTTCCAGGGCCAAGTTCATCACTCCTTTCTTGTTGTGAAGTGAAATAGAGACCCCTCTATAACCTCTGCTCTTGGGTATAAACATTATTCTGGAGTTACAAGCGCTTTCCAGGCACCTCTGATTTCATTCCCCATTCGTGGTATACAGAATAGTATCCAAGCAGTTTCAGCCTAAACAAACTTTTCATAGGGATGGGGAGAAATTTGATTCAGTTCACGTTCAAAGGCAAATCTATCAAATTCTCACTTTCCAAAATAAAAGAAAACTGAAATGAGCCATCTTTCAAAATTTGTGCTTCTCTCAGCAAATGTGGTCATTGTGCATAAAAACGAATATATCATGAATGCATTATATTAGGAGAAATTGCTTGCAAAAATGTGTGCCCTAGTCAAAACTGCATACAAAAAATATTCTTAGGAGAAAATCACTCAGAAGTCTGACAAATTTCCATTAAGATCTGTCTAATACTCCATGAAATTGTCTAATCCTCTTTTAAATCTATTCAAGTTGGTAGTCATCACTACCAACTTGCAGGAGTGAGTTCCATCATTTGACTATGGCAGATATCATGGTACCCACCTTCCATTCATGGAAGCAAGCAAACACCTGTGAGTAGAAGGGGAAATTAAGCAACAGGAGCTGACAGACTAAAAACTGTGACAAGCTGCTATATCCGAGTAACAACAATTAACACACCGTGCCAAATAACTAGCTGTAGTTTGTGGTTGGGTAGTTTATGTTTTGTTGTTGTTGTTGTAATTAATTGGAAGTGTTACTTGTGTTATGTACTGAAGTTCTCACCCTGGGCCAGCAGGGGGATACTGTAGATAGTTCAGGTCCACATATGCAAATAAGGGATCAAAAGTGACATTCAGTGATTGGATAGTTACAGAAAGTTGTTGCAGTTATGTTGTTCTGGAGCTCTATATAAGCAGGCTGGCTGAACCCTTCAGTTCAGTTCTGTTCTGGCCTGTGAATAAACAAGAGCTGTTTGAAGAATCGCTGTGTTGTCTGATATGTTCACCCACAACTTAACAACTTGCTTTTAATAAACGTATTTTTTCGTATTCACTAGACTCCAGAGTATGGCTAATCCGGCCCTCCTCATCCATGGCGCAGCAGTGTGGGTATGTCTCCCAGATCTGATCTCTCTCGAATTTCCCTCCAATTGCCAAGACCACCAACTTCCTGACCTCTAAAGACTTGCAGGTTCCTATGAGAACGATCAGATTGCCAGTATTCATTTTCTAAAATGAAACTGCTAGCAACCATTTAAAAGATAAGCTCAGAATTCTGAGGGTAATATGTGATAAAGACTCAAACCAATTAAAAAAGTTGCCTGGCTTAATTATTATTTTTAAGATCTAGGCTCATTTCACAAGTTTGGAAAGGCTAACTACAGTTTGGCCTCCAGCGCTCAGTTTTTGCTCTGATAAGGCACGGCTTAGTATTGCGGGCACCAATATTCAGACGCAGGAACACACACCCTGTTTGGACGTCTGACTAAACTTGCAACTAAGCTTGCACTCTGGCTGCCTTGGATACTATTGAAACTGCCTAACGATATTATTGAAAGAGAATAGTTGGCTGGATGCAAGGTCCCATATGCTCACTGCTCAGAGAGACAGTACTGAATCTTTCTAATGGCTCGCATCATAAAAAAAAATCATCACCACCACTGACACTAATTGGCGCCCTTGCTGGCATGATGAACAGAAAGACCAAGGTTTAAAGATGATCACCGACACTAATTTTTGTCCCTAGGGAGAGTTTTCCCAGGTCAGGGTTGAGACATATCGATTGAGCAGCACAAAGAGTATGAACTGCTACTAGCTGTGTTCTGCCTCTCCTCTGTCTGTCTCTCCTGCCGCCCCATTTTGTTGATGATAGTTAAACAGCCTGTCTTTGCAGCTGGCTGACAAAAAAATTAAAGTGTGCCTTCTTCCACTTAGCTGTGTAGGGGGGAAAACCCCTTTCAAGAGAGATGGAAAAGAAGTACAAGTTTTATCTGTACAAAGCAGAAAGGCACCAACTAGTGTGTTGTTTTTTCAAATAATCAACTAGATTATTTGAAATCTAAATAATTTAGATTATTTATCTAAATAATCTTAAGTATTAACTATATTGTGTATTAACTATATTGTGTATTAAGTATTAAGTATATTGTGAGAAGAGCAAAAGTCTTCACATAGAGCCTCCATTAATACGCTGGTATTTATAATTATGGAAAGGCTCCAATACTTTGGCCACCTCATGAGAAGAGAAGACTCCCTGGAAAAGACCCTGATGTTGAGAAAGATGGAGGGCACAAGGAGAAAGGGACGACAGAGGACGAGATGGTTGGACAGTGTTCTTGAAGCTACCAGCATGAGTTTGCCCAAACTGCGAGAGGAAGTAGAAGACAGAAGTGCCTGGTGTGCTCTGGTCCATGGGGTCACGAAGAGTTGGACACGACTAAGCGACTAAACAACAACAATATCTAAATGTTCAAGCAAGTAAATCAAAATAATAGATGTGTTCACTACTACCTCATGAAATCATTTGTAGGTTCATCTTCTTTTTGCTGCAAAAGATATCCTCTGTTCTCTTGCCTTTATCAACAAGCTGCCATTGTTTAGTTCTGGAGAAAGTAGTCAGTAGTTCTCCTCTTTCCTCAACCAAGAGCAGTAGGCAAGGATGCAGAAAATCCTGAATGAAAGGAGTGCACAATAATAGGGTTGGCCAAATACCGTATTTTTTGCTCTATAAGACTCACTTTTTCCCTCCTAAAAAGTAAGGGGAAATGTGTGTACATCTTATGGAGCGAATGCAGGCTGCACAGCTATCCCAGAAGCCAGAACAGCAAGAGGGATTGCTGTTTTCACTGCGCAGTGATCCCTCTTGCTGTTCTGGCTTCTGAGATTCAGAATATTTTTTTTCTTGTTTTCCTCCTCCAAAAACTAGGTGCGTCTTGTGGTCTGGCGTCTTATAGAGTGAAAAATACGCTACATTTTGCTGCCTAAGGCAGAGCAGCAAATAGTGTTCCCCAAACTGGGACACAGAGTTAAGTAAAGTCCAATCTGAATAATACCCAAGGCTATCCAAGTTCTTTTGACCCCTGAGGCAGAATATCCCATAAGCATCTCTCCCTGGGAGTAGTAATACAACAATACCAAACCATATAACAATTAGCTGCCCTTTCCTGGCACCCAAAATGACTGCCTGAGGCAGTTGCATCACTGCCTAATGAGAAGGCCAACTGTGCAAATGGCAATCAGAGTGAAGTGCAAGAATAATAAGGAACAGTGTAGAAATAACAAATGGGATGTACTAAAAAAAAATCAAATCAGTGCTTTGAATATAAAGCATCTCTGTCTCCACCAACTCATAGAATTGTAGAGTTCATTTGATCCTGCAATGCAGGAATCCGGCACACAGCTTTCCCTTTGTGGGCTTGAACCACCAGCCTTCTGGTTAAGAGCCAGACCCATTGCACTGCCTGAGATCTCTCATCCTCTCCAATATCTCAACACTCCAAATATGAAATAATCACAATCTGACCAGGGTGTTCTGGACAAAGCCGGAGTATCAGATCTAGTTGAGCTGTTTATGTTAAGTTGTCAGATGACACAGCGATTCTTCAAACAGCTCTTCTTTATTCACAGGCCAGAACAGAACTGAACTGAAGAGCTCAGTCAGCCTGCTTATATAGAGCTCCAGAACAACGTAACTGTAGCAACTTTCTAAAACTATCCAATCACTGAACATCACTTTCGATCCTTCATTTGCATACAAACTATCCAATCGCTGAAAATCACTTTCGATCCTTCATTTGCATAACTATCTACAGTATCCCCCTGCTGGCCCAGGGTGAGAACTTCAGTACATAAGTTTAGTTGTAGGAACTTGCTTGACAGAGCAGCAGCAAGTCACTCACGAAAAAGCATTTCAAGGCTGTTGTTCCAAGCTGTCTGGATCCTTTAAAAAGAGCACTCCTTAAGCAGTGGCAGGCATTATGTGGCAGGTCTCCGTTGTAAGGACTTCTATATTTGTTTTTGCAATTATTTCAATAACTGAAATATAAAAGACATTGACATCCTCTTCAATTTACCTTTTTACTTATTTTAAATGTTATTAAGAAATTGAGTATTATCAACAGGCAGTAAGTGTCTGTGTGCTATGCTGAACTTTTATTGATTGATTGTTTATTCTATTTATTGTTGGATCTATCGATATTTAAATTAGAATCATATATATATATATATATATATATATATATATATATATGAACTAGTTTTACTGAAATATGTCAGCCAGAGGCTACGCAGACTTCCCAGACATGCAGTCAGTGACAAAATTAATCTCTCTTCTACCTTGCAAAAATATTGTCAACCTTGGTCTCTGCTGAGCACTGGCAGAAACACACTTTCAAGAGTTTGCTCCTTTGAGTGGGTTAACAAGACAATAACAAATCCTATTACAACTGATGCTGCAACGTTTCTATGTCCTCAAGGTATGTCTCAGGTTTCAAGGCCAATCTTCATTTCCATGCAATTGATAAAACATTGAATTAAAATACAAATGAAAAACATCCTAGCAAGCCCATTCTGCTTCTTACTATTAATGAGGTTGTCCCAATTATTTTAGATATGATACCACATCTGCAAGGAATTTTAGACCATTCTTATTTTTACCATTGTCCCACAATCCCTTCCACTCCACTGTTTTTGAACATCACTTTTAAAAAAAATACTAAATGAAGAAATATATTAGACATAAATGTATTATGCTTCTGCAGTTTAAGACATGAACTCTTAATAACAAAACATGCCAATGCTTTGAATGACTTGTGTATTGTTTTGCCTTCTCAAAGCTCTGTAAGACATGACTTTAAATGGCTCTGGCTCAGTAATATTTTTTAAAACAACTCTTGTGCCATCTAGTGGTATTTGCTTCAGTCATTTAAAAAAACTAGCAGACTAGTATTTTCCAGATACAAAGAAGGTCTGAATATCCCCAAAGGTTTCCTGCAATAGAGATGGGATTACATTGTACTTGCATTTCTTTCTCAGGTGTCGTGCAACTCCATTAATGCAACAAACTTCATCACACCTCAGCAGCTACCTCTCGGCTTGGTTCTGTGTTTATACAAAGATGCCCAGTCATCACCTTCTATCCTTAGACTGTACCCTATAACGCAGTGGTAGAGAACTTCAGGCCTCACAGCAAAATTTGCCCCTTCAGGTCTCTCTTTCTGACTTTCAGGACTCTTCCCAGATGCTCCTCCTCCTCAGGCCACAAGTCTCACTAGTCTTACATTGCACCTTCTATTTTGACTGACTAAAATGCATCCTTGAGCTCTGACACCTGGATGGAGGCCATAGAGGGGTTTGCGAGTTTGTAAATTTGTTGCTCTGTGCACTATTGCCTTTAGTCTTGTTAAGTTGTGGGTGAACATATCAGACGACACAGCGATTCTTCAAACAGCTCTTGTTTATTCACAGGCCAGAACAGAACTGAACTGAAGGGTTCAGCCAGCCTGCTTATATAGAGCTCCACTAAAATGCAACAGTAGCCACTTTCTGTAACTATCCAATCACTGAACATCACTTTCAATCCCTTATTTGCATATTTGGACCTGAGTGAAAACTATCTACAGTATCCCCCTGCTGGCCCAGGGTGAGAACTTCAGTACATAACAAGTCTCACCCAGCACTGTAATATGGCTCCTGGATAAGGTTACCCAGAAAGCAACATGATTGGAAAACAGTTCCACACCCCTGATAATACCCGTCTCCACTGAAAACTTATAGCCAATCTTCTCAATCAGCATCTCAAATTATGCCCCCTGATTCTGACTTGAATCAAAACCCTACTATAGAAGAAGAAGAAGAAGAAGAAGAAGAAGAAGAAGAAGAAGAAGAAGGTATTATTTATACCCCACCCATCTGGCTGGGTTTCCCCAGCCACTCTGGGGGACTCCCAATTGAATATTAAAAACACAATACAGCATTAAACATTAAAAACTTCACTAAACAGGGCTGCCTTCAGATGTCTTTTAAAAGTAGGATAGTTGCTTATTTCCTTGACATCTGCTGGGAGGGCGTTCCACAGGGTGGGCGCCACTACCGAGAAGGCCCTCTGCCTGGTTCCCTGTAACTTGGCTTCTCGCAGCGAGGGAACAGCCAGAAGGCCCTCAGAGCTGGATCTCAGTGTTCAGCCTGAACGATGGGGGTGGAGAAGCTCCTTCAGGTTAACAGGACCGAGGCCGTTTAGGGCTTTAAAGGTCAGCACCAACACCTTGAATTGTGCTCAGAAACGTACTGTTATATGGTCTCGATGGCCACTCCCAGTTACCAGTCTAGCTGCTGCATTCTGGATTAATTGCAGTTTCCAAGTCACCTTCACAGGTAGCTCTCAAGTTCTTCTTTTACTTCAGGTAATGGTAAAAGCATCCTCTGCCATTTTCCCATCTTATGGCACAGAATTCATAATTGCTCATAACTGTAGGTCTTAGCAATTATTTTTCCAAGCAGAAAAGGCTATATATTCTGCATAAGCAGTGGGTACAGAAGGTGAAATGTGCTAATGCAAATCACAATAGTCCATTTTTCCCTGTTTTTAAAATGCATAATTGTTCACAGCAGTGAACTCAGATGCTCAGTGGGTAAGGAGACATTAACGAAAACAAACTCATTTTAAAACCCATGCTCCAAGCCTCACTCCAGTTAGGACAATGCAAGCCCGGATTGTTTAAACATTACAAAACTTCAGACATGTATCTCCTTTAGAACAATCTTCCTTCCACATGTTAGCACTATAAACCAGTGTTGTGCCAAAAAAAAGTCCTCAATTTTCTTAAAGTATTTATTTCCC